CTTTTCTATTTTATAGCAAGGCCATTGGAGAAAAGCGATGCTGTTACGAAAAGAGCGATACTATCTGCCATTGCTAAACTCTTCGATCCGCTGGGGTGGCTTGCGCCTATCATAATCGTAGCCAAAATCCTTATGCAAAATATTTGGCTGGAAGGCACAGATTGGGATGAGACTGTGTCTTCGACCACTCTAGACCGATGGCAGAATTTTACCCAACATTATAACGAAATTGATAAGGTTCGTATACCGCGATGGGTATACTTTTCTCCAACGGATGAAATACAAATACACGGATTCTGTGACGCGTCGGAGAAAGCATATGCCGCCTCTGTGTATATGCGTGTCAAAAGAGATAGCAAAGTTTTTATTAACCTGCTTTTGGCAAAAACCAGAGTTGCTCCTGTTAAAACCATATCGCTACCCCGACTGGAACTTTGCGGAGCGGTACTATTGGCGGAAATAGTTGATTCAGTAATCAACAATCTCAACTTAGGGCATATCAACATACATCTGTGGACCGATTCCACAATTGTTCTCGCTTGGATTCGCAAGCCTCCGTGTTCATGGTCAACTTTCGTTGCCCATAGAATCACAAAAATTGTAGAGAAAGTCGGAAACAAGAATTGGCTGCATGTGGATTCGGCATCAAATCCAGCAGACTTAGCGAGCAGAGGACTTCCAGCATATGAATTGGTCAACAATTCGTTGTGGTGGCAGGGACCTTCTTGGTTACAAGAAGGTAACCCAAAATGGCCCACCCAGGAAACAGACTACAGCACAGTAGTTGAGGAAAAAAGAACGCACGTTTATACAACCAAAGTAAATTATACAGATATTCTTGACCGTTTTTCAGATTTTCCGAGAGCTTTGAGAGTATTATCATATGTTATGAGATTCTCTCAAAGAACGCATCGGAATACGAAAGCTTCATTTCAAGAAAAGTCACGCTTAATTTCATCCCATGAAATTAAAGCAACGACACAACGCTTGATGAAAATATATCAACAGAACTATTATAGTGAAGAATACAGGAAACTTAAAGCAGGAAACTCCATCGACTCCAAGAGTGAACTCCTACCGCTTAATCCGTTCATAGATAAAGATGGCATTATTAGGGCTGGTGGGCGTCTTGGAGCGTCTCAAGACTTAGCGTATAACGAGCGGCATCCAATAATTATTCCTTATAACTGCAGGTTGTCCCGTCTAATAGTGTCCTTTATTCATCAAGTCTCTTTGCATGGGGAAAATCAACTCATGCTTCGCCTTATCCGAACTCAGTATTGGATCCCCAGAGTTAAAAATCTGATCAAATCCACAATCCATAATTGCAAAGTCTGTACGATATACAAAAAACGTACGCAAACCCAGCTTATGGGAAGTCTCCCTCAGGAGAGAACCACATTTTCGCGCGCGTTTACGAATACAGGTGTAGATTTTTCAGGACCCTTTGACATCAAAAGTTATAGCGGCCGAGGTTGTCGAATGTCCAAAGGATACGTTTGCCTTTTTGTCTGTTTTTCGACAAAAGCGATCCATTTGGAAGCAACTAGTGACCTCAGCACTCCATCATTTTTAGCTGCATTCGCCAGGTTTGTAGCCAGAAGAGGATGCCCGAAGAACATATATTCCGACAATGGTACAAACTTCGTCGGAGCTTCACGATCTTTACGATCTGAATTTAAGGCATTTTTAGCAGATTCGCGTGAAAAAACAGTTTCGAAATACAATTATCAAATGCTCACATGGCATTTCATACCCGCCGCTGCTCCTCATATGGGCGGCTTATGGGAGGCAGGGGTAAAAAGCTTTAAAAGCCACTTTAAAAAGATTGCATCCGTTCATAAATATACATTCGAAGAGCTCAGTACTCTTTTATGTCGGATTGAGGCGTGCCTCAACTCACGACCATTGAGCCCCGCTTCGAATGAACCTACCGACCTGGAGCCTCTCACTCCAGGTCACTTTCTTACCGGTGGACACCTGCTAGCCCCACCTGAAATCGACGTTCACGAGAATCCTGCCTCGATAGTAAATCGGTGGCAGAAGCTAAAGGCCCTTCATCAAACTTTTTGTAACCGATGGAAAACCGAATATTTATCCGAACTGCAAAAGCGGATTAAGTGGAAATATCCACAGCAAAATATAAAAGTAGGAGATCTCGTTGTCATCAAGGAAGACAACCTCCCGTCAAATGAGTGGAGATTAGGTCGAATTATCAGCCTACATCCTGGTCCCGACGATCGAGTACGCGTAGTTGATATCATCACGGAAAAAGGGCAGATTACGAGACCGCTGGCCAAACTGGTCCTACTTCCATCCCAAAATCAAGAAACCGAGGAGCCAGCAACCACTTCGTAAATAAACCCCCTCAGTTGATCCCCAATCCCGCGTGAATTCCACTTCCTCATCGCACAAAAATTCCACTTCTATGCATTCGGAAGGATTCCACGCCTATAATAAACTTTAACCCAGAATCATATTAAAAGCAATCGTATTTTTTAGTAAGATTTAAGTGATGGTTCTTGGCTGTATTCCCACAGCCCGATCTGGTAACAAAGAACCGACCATCGTAAGATCTAAGCACCCATCAGAAAATCTTTACAAACATCGAAGACTGAAAATTATCTTATAACTAAAAACAGCATTGCAATCACTTCCAAAATATTTGCACTTGAAATGAAATTGTAAGTTAAATGAAATTGAGCAAATGCTTATTCACAAATATGGCAGAAAAAAGGGCGAAAGTCGTTATGAACCTTCACTTGGAGCACAATTTGCATTCATAGAGGATGACTTATATTGAAAAAAAAGGGAGTTGCCGTTCAAGTCCATTATTTTTATTTGCCATATTAGCAAAAGCAGCATCGTAATTTAAATATGACATACAAAAATAATTTGTATTTGTAAATTAATTTACATTTTCTCCTAAATTTTACATAAATTAACTACAGAAATATGATACATGCAGGCGCATGCAGTATATTTTTTCAGCGGAAGTCGATGCCCAATGCAAGTCTGTTTTAATAAATTTAAGGAAGTCTCTTAACGCTTAAGCCGCCCTGCCAGCCCGTAGCGTACCACTTTTTAATTAAGTTTGGTTTCCGGCTCTCAAGAAAAATCACAAGAAATATTTTTCACCATATTTTTGCTGCTTGAAAAATTACTTTGCCGTTGCTGTAAATTTTCTTGAAGAAATAAATATACATACGGCTCATTTACTTCAATAGTGTAATAATTCAAAATAATACCAAATCGTGTTAAGTATGTAGAAATGACCGCTCCCTGTTCTTCCATACAGTGTAAAAATTTCATAGCTATAACAATTACCAGTAGCTCACTAGAACAAAATATGTATTAATTTTTACTTTTACTTTTACTTTAGTAAGCACGCCATTAATTTTGATTCACATGCCTAATTCATATTTCAATTCTTTGCCTCTACAAGCTTTTTTTCTTGAATGTAAGCTGTTAACAGACTTTTGTATCCTTTCTACTTTTACTTAAAAAAATATGAATTTTGACGGCGCCGTGCTTAAACAAAATTTTAAGTTCTAATGAACACACATCCATACATATGTAGAAACTTAAGAAATTCTAACATAGTTGATTGAATAGATTCGATGGTTACGGAGGTTCAGCCATTTTCTTTACGAAAAAAAAAAAAAAATCAAATGTGGAAAATTCACTTTTGATTCTGACCTGTGTATACTTATGTTACAGATAAAGACCTTAAGGTCAGATTTTCAAAATGTCTTAATTTTTGGCGTCTGAAACGAATTTGAACAAGGGCATCAAAAAAAAGTCATCGCGACGGAAATGCATGAAATGTGCAAACTATTTACTATATATACATGGAGTTAAATCGGTATTGGAACAAATTTATATGTCGGCAATAAAAGCCGCACGTAGCGAAACGCTGTGATTTCTTTTGCCAGGAAACTCGGGTTGACATGAATTGTTCCACACCGAGAAATCTACAATCAACAGCAACAAATACCTTAAAAGCAAATACAAAACCATCTTCACTGCCGACAAAGCTGTCATCGTCACCATCGTTGGTAACTCCTATATACTGCAGAGAAGATATTGATAATTCAAATTTATTTTGTGCTACTATTGCTGGAAGCTGTATTTCCAACACGGAACGACCAACGCCCCCGCCAAGAGCAGCCAAAGCCTTAAAACTCGCATCCGCTGCTGCACCGGCTTCACAAACGCCAATGAGAGAATCTGTTACCGAGGATGCAGCAGCAGTACAGGTCAATAAACTAAAAGTATTTAAAGAAAGCAGCTATCAAATATAACATTTTATTTTATCCTTTTTTGCTAAACTTGGGGGCAATACATGTATGTATGTTCATACATAAGTAGATAAAAGTTTCGAATATTATCGAAAGTGCAGGTTCATTAACATAGTTGGCATTATGCCTATAACTCATACATGTACATACATATTTGGAGGTGTACATACCAAAATCCGTGCGCAACTCTCGAATCATATCCGCCACTGTGCATAGCAGGTGGTCCTTGTGTGGGCGTGTGTGCCATCATACCATCCAATGGAGGTGCATTTGTTTTTGTGGGTGTCGATGGAGGCGCAACTCGAAAAAATTACGCCCGTTTTTATGAATTATCGAATTCATAGGATTTGTCTCCAATTAATGCAAATACTTGTTTCTTCGCGATTATTTCTGGCTGGAAGGCTGCTGGTTGCATTTGATGGGATGACCGTATATGCGTGTATCGGGAATGCATACATACGTGTGTGACCAATCTTGGGCGTTTTAGTGGGCAATGCCATTATAGATATGTAGGTGTAGCAGGCGTTTTTGTTCACATATGATTATCCACAGTTCCTCATTATATACTTCTTTGAAGTTAATTTTGCTTTCGAGTATTTTGCTGGTTGTAGGTTCGCGATATTTTTGCATTATGAACTCCATGGTGCGTTCATAATCTTCAATGCATATTTTTAGCTCGCGATTTTCTTTCAATATTTCTGAACTGGTAGCATTTTGCTGGTGTATACGATTCACCATTTCAGAATTCGATTTGTTGTTGGAAATTCGGTTTAACGAATCCATATCATCTTGAAATTGTCGCAAACTTTCGACCAAGCGATTGTTGCCTTCTGCTGAATAAAAAAGCACTCGTCCACCGCAATAAAAATCTCTGAAAATCGAAAAAGATTAATAAGAATAAAAGCATGCAATTTCGCATGCATACTCACCCAACCGTTTCAGCAAACTTACGTAATGGCCGCGTGGTAGTAACTTTTAGACAATGACATTTATGCATTGTATGTATGTATGTATGTGATTACGTTCCACATCAGGAATAAACCTAGCGCCGTTCTCCATTCATATTGGAGAATAGCTATGTTTCTTTACGCACAATTAACACTAACCCTAACTAGCTGCTGCTAGTTTTGCATGGTGACCGTTCGTAGACAATATATTTAATTGCTGTTGTCATACAATTGGGTTATTTTAAATGTAAAACCAATGCAAAGTCACTGGGTACCACAAAATGTTAATTGGTTATTTTAAATGTAAAACCAAAGCAAAGTCACAAAATGTTAATTGGTTATTTTACATGGGAAACCAATCCAAAGTCACTACGTACCACAAAAATGTTAAGATACTATGCTTGCTAAAGTATTTCTTAGGCGGCACCTTGTTTTTTAACAGCAAGGCGCCCAATGATATGCAAGCTTATGCCGCTGGGAAGTGGGATTGTTGAGTGCCGATGTAAACCAAGATACATAAGTCTCCAAATGTCGATAAGCAGGTTCACGTCACATATTCAAGTACACACACACATATGTTAAAACCTGCTATCGACAAAATATGCGGATGAAAGCACAAATGAAAAATAATAAAAATAAATAAATGCTACCACACTCATACGCACAAGCATTTTTTTCGGTATCATTTAATGCAAGTAAAATTCTACGTTGCCCATACATCCCTGCACAGTAGAATGCATGGCATCCATGCAATCCATCATCCAAAATTTTGTAGGTCGTGAGTTAACATTATGCTACATTCACACTAGGTGGTTCTTTGATTAGAAAAATAATGTATATAATGCCAAGTTCACACCCACCGAATTATGCGCTTGCACTCATCAAAATGTTGCGCCTTTCATACCACTCGCCACCCAACAATACATATATACGTTATAATATCCACTGCAACGATATCTGACCCTATTTCAGCCGTAACGATGTCTCATATCGCCACTATGAGGAAACGAGCCGAACAACGCGCCCACCGCTATCCGCTACCGTGCCGCCTATGCGACGCACACCACCCGATTAGGCTCTGCCCTATTTATCGGGCAAAATCGCCCGAGGAGAGACTGCGCGAAGCTCTACTGGGCCGCTATTGCGCAAACTGCCTTGCCATGACCCACCAGCTGAAGGAGTGTCAAAGCGAGGGAAGATGCCGTAGGTGTGGCGAGAAACACCACTCCACTCTGCATTTAGAGGATGAGCCAACGCGCCAACGAAAATGTGAGTCATGGAGGGCACGAGGCAATGATGGCGACTCAGAGGAACCAGTCCCCAAACCATGGAGTGTGCAAGTGGAAGAAGCCGAGGCAGACGGCACTCTGTCACTATACGCGTCCGACTCGGGAACCGAGACTAGGCCTCCCGGTCCAGAGATTGAAGAAGGGGAAGTTATTGAGCGCGGAGCGGGGACTCGGCCTCTCCGCCCGCTTACGAACGGGGGACCGGAAACACGGTCTTTCCGGCCTCTGCTGCGGCATGAACGCAGAAGTACGGCTGGATCCGAAACACGGGTTCACCGAGCACGCCACCAAGGGCGACAAAGCCGCAGAGCGGGAACTCGGCCTTTCCGCCTGCGCCAATCCACAACATTGCAACACGAAGATAGACTGGTGACTAGGCCTCGCCAGCTATCACGACCGCACGCTTTTCGAAATACCATAATAACGCCATCACTCCAGCCCACTATATCCGTGGCGCCGACGGCTGTTGTAAAGGTGGAGGCGAGAGGGCGCCTACATCTGGTCCGCGCGCTTATTGACGCTTGCGCGCCGAACACTATCTTGTCCGCGGATCTGGCCCAAGAGCTAGGGCTTCAGGAAACCTATATCGGCGGGCAACGAGGGTGTTTCCTATGCATAAGGGGCAAGCATGGGCAGAACAAGCGGGTGGCGACCCATGCGCTTATTATACCCCGCTACAACCATGTCTCACCTAGGACTAATGTGGATCCCTCAGTTGCTACGCCGTATATCCACATTCGGCTTGCGGATCCAAATTTTTTCGCATCAGCACCGATACGCCTTGCCCTTGGGTCGGACGTATATGCGGACCTAATCTTGCCCGGAACTTTACCGACGTCGTTTGGCCCCCTCATTGCGCAAAGCACTATTTTTGGTTGGGTGCTGTCAGGGGCGTGCCGGCCGTAAATTTAACTTACATAAAAAACCAAAATAAGATGTGAATTATTTGAATTTTTTGTAATGAAATAAAGTGCATTGAATTATAACCATGTTTGTATCCCATGATTTTCACTCTATGATTTACTAGGTGTTTTAGGGGAAAAAGGATGGAACCGCTCGTCGAAGATCTTGGTGATGGTGGCGCCGCTCTCAACAGCACAACATACATGAATTCACACACTTGTTTTGTAGTTGTAAGAACATATGAAGCTGGTAGCTCGGGCGTTTCCCAAGCACAGATGTTGCGTCCCGCAAGGGGGGGCGGCATGTTTAGGCCTTCAGCCTAAATATTTCAAAAAAAAACTCCACCCTAATGCCATTTTCTCTAACTCACTCACATACGTATTTGTGTACGCATGCGTGTGTATATAACTATACATGCGCACGTATGTATACACTTACGTATTAACGCGAAGACTTGGGCCGTTAGCAAGTCCTTCTCGCCGGACAACGAACTTTCGTTAACTTTCCCCTTCTATATCGGTGTTTGTCCGGCGGTCCGCAACTAACGCGATTTAATTTAATCCGTCACTTCTCTTTTGAATCATCAAGGAAGAACACCGGAGCTACCAGCCTCATCGATAATTTCCGCATTAAGGTAATATACTCAATTGTACACAAAGAAATCTTGACAAATATATAAGACTATTGATTTGAATTAATACTAAATCACTGTCTGTATCATTTTGTTTCTTTTTGCAAATAATACGAAACCCCTGTGCGTCTGAGCGCTAAAGTCGAGGAAGCACATGCGTTTTGACAAAGGTAAAGACATCGACCTGTTACAATTTTATTATATGTATATCTAG